TTTCGGCGAATTCAAACGCCGATGTTACAGGAGCGGCGCATCTCTACGTTCGCCCGTAACAATGGGAACGCCGGAATTCGAGTATATCTCCCCCGTATCCGCAAGCGTCGAAAATTGAACTCATCCGGCATCCAATTATACCGGTTTGAACGCGTTGGTCCGCGTCGCGATGGAAATTCGAAGGAGGAAAGTAGCGCGCAACTCGGACCCCGCTGCCGAGAAAGTAGCTCGCGACCGGTCGTTAGCCGGCCGATTAAACTTAAATCAAGTTAGAAGTTGAGAATTAAAGGTTAAACGTTGGTTAACATTTCATCCAGCCGTATTGAATTCTTTTCGACTGCAACTTCTACTTCTGCCGCCTCGTGACCGGTCGTTTCAAAAACCGGAGCGCAGCTGAATGCCGGGGCGCGCGCCCGAACGAGAATTTTATCGCGCGCAAAAAGTTCACTCGGCGACAAACATCGCGACATCGCCGGGTGTAAAGCCTGATAAATGCGCGATATAAGTCGATAAAGAAGCCAACCAATTTCCGCGTGCGATTATTTCACGCCAACGTACAGTTTTGGTCGATTACCTCGGTAAATTGGATTACCGGAGTTAGGATTTGGCTGAATATCTCTCTGTAGAGAGCCCGTTACGGAAATGAAGCTGGCTTTCGCGTTAGATACACTCGCGAATTTTCCCAAAGGGGGGGGGGAAAGGGGGGAAATAAAGGTCCGTGTTTCACGATGATAGACAATCCATTAGTTTCGAATATTACGGACTGATAATTTTTTACGGAATTTTGCGCGCGTCTGGTTACAGTATCGGCGCGGCCGAAACGATAAGATCGGGGCTAACGGAGCGGATATGAGCGGATGACAATTCGCGAGCAACGAGCGGGAGCGTCAAGTGGGAGCCCCGGGTGGATCTTACGAGGAACGTGAGAACCCGTTGAAATCGGAGAGCACGTTGCTCGACTGACCGCGATAATAGGTTGCGCAAGAAACAGTACATCATCCAGGGAGAGAGGCACCAGACCAATCTCCGAAAAACACCCAACGATCCGCGGAGAGCGAGTGGAGGACGAAATAAACGAGTCGAATGATTAAAAGGCCCGATTCCTCCCGCGAGAACTCCGCAGCGCCTGGCTCTTTACAGTCCAACGACTCGTAAAATGGGAGGCAACTTCCGCGCACGGCAAGATTAAATACTTTAGAAAGCTCCGACGCGAGTTACGGCGCGTTAACGGGGCATCGACGCGAGGATAGAAATGAGAGAAGCGCTTTTTGACCGCGACTGCGCGAGCCGATGCATAGGTGTACTCGGGATTTGACACGTTGAATGCCGCAAGGTACGTGTAAAGTATAATTAATAGCCTTTGGGAAATCTATGCGTTCCATTAGCCAGCGAAACGACGTGAAAGACGCGTCTCGATTTACATGTCTTTTTTTATCGTACCTTCGATAATTCAATCATCAAAGTCAAGGAGGTTGCAAGGCTCAAGCGTCGTATTTTCAGTGACGCAACAAGGGCGGCTACTTATAAATTTAGTATTTGCCAAGCAATATTACGTTCTTATACATTAATCTCCCTACCTAAATGTTAGTTTGAAACGAAGCTGAGATAAACACATAGGTACAGAATATAACAAATACGATAATTTTATTATCTTTGACTTTCTTATTAATGCTACATTATTTATGCGTCAGTTAATCTAATATATAGAGGTTTACAGATAATAAAAGAGATATGTAAGTGTTTAAATACATGCATATATTACGAGTGTTACTATAAATTACGAACTTGACACCTTTATTTTCAAAACAAAATGGTCAATAATTTTGAAATTTGTATATAAATATCTGCATATTAGTGCGTAATATCATATTAGTTTTTCATTAAAATCTCATTTTTATAGTTTGGAAGATATTAAAAATAGAAGTTAAAAAAAGCACGCTAATCCCCCCCAAAAAACATTAAAAAAAAAGTGTCAACTTTAGTTGCAAATATCTCAGTTCTCAGATTGTCAATTTTTCTCTAATTGTACAAGCAGTTAGACAATATAGTTAAAACGTAGTGCAAGTTTCGTCGAATTCTTATCAAACTCGTTTCGCCTCACAGCCTCCTTATTAAACTTTTGCACCTCCAACGTGGCGGTAAAGGTGTTAAAAGCGAGGACCGGCCAGGTGAGCACCCGAGAATCGGATCCGAGCTAATAAGAACGAAGAAGAACAAAAAATGCGAAGACAATTGCATCACGCATTCTTAGCTGGACGGCAAAAAGATAGAAGAGCAGCGGCAGCCAAGAACGACTAGGCGGCGGCTTTTCCTCTTTGGCCAGTTCCCGCGACGAAATAAAATGGCGAGTAGCCGTCGGCGTCGGGAAAGCGTTTTTCTCTTTCAGCCAGCCGAACCGGAGGAATGTCCTTCCACGCGCGAAATGAAAAGTGCCGGCGCCGCGGTGATATCCGTTACTCTCTTAAGCGCGGAAAAAGCACGGCGCGCGAATCTCGGAGCGGAATAAATTAAAGCACGCGAACGTAATCGCGCGATCCTCTTTCTCCGTTTCTCTCTCTCCAACCTGGCAGGAAGACAAGCGGGATTACCCGGGCGCGTACTTACCGTCGCGTCGCGGAATCGCTCCCTGACGGCGTCTGAAATAATATCAAAGTAACGCGAAGCGCTGCACCTCGTCGTGGGTACGAAGGGCGCACAGCTACGCTTGCAAGGGCCGTTGAATTCACCCAACTTTATATCTCGCAACGGCGAGAGACATAACGCGAAAGCGGTGCCGGGCGGTCTCGTGGAAAAATGCATGAGAATTCCGCGGAATAATTCGCACGCCGTCGGCGATGGAGCTTTATCGTTCTTGCCGCGTGCATTCGGAGCGGGAAGGAAACTGCGGTGGAAAAATATCGCGTTCCTCCTTCTGATTTGCCGCGACGAGCGCGCGGAAAAGAAATCGTCGGGAATAAGAGTAAATTGCAAAACGCTCGTCGTCGACGTCGTCGTCGTCACGAGCGACGTTCAGTCGCGATAATGCCGCCGGATTACGTCCGGCGAAATAATCAAGTGACGTCGACAAGAGAGTCGCCGTTGCGTCGTCGTCGTCGGCCGGCCGTCAGAATGAGAAAGCTGTTCGATGCATTCGCCTCGTTCTTACGCCGTGTAGCCAGCTCTCGCGTCGCTACACGAAACGAACGAGCGTACGAGAGGCAGGATAATGCCGGGACCGCAGAATGGACGGAAGAGCACGAGTGTAGAGCGGAAGAGGCTACGAGGGGACGGAGATACGACCGATTCGCGGGGCCCTCCCAGGTACCGGGGGCTTTTTGCCAACCTCGATCGTTACGAATCCGTATAAGGAGGTCGAGGACGAGGATAAGGAGAGAGCGAGGAAGAGAATGAACGGCGCGTATTTCTGTTCTGGAATGGAACTAGGTATTCATAATCGGATCTTATATGTATTTAAGGCCGCCTTAAGTTCACCATCAGCAGCCGATGAAATGAGTCGTACGGTACATTTGGGGATAAACTCAAGATCTTAAATATAAGATCCGACTATGAACACCGGCCTTAGGTCTACGTAACGCGATGAGAGGACGGGAAATTTGTATACAATAAAATGAATTAAAATCAAGCATGAAATCTGGGAAGAACGACATGCGCTCAGACTCGAGAGATGCCGTTCGATTTTTTCGAGGAGGAGGAGGACCCTGAGATTCCGGAGCAGCCGGTGTAAATCTCGATCGGATTAATGAACGGAGATCGAGCGGGGAGGAGGTTTTACGAAGAGACCGGACCGCGGGATTTCAGCTCGGGATTTACGACGACGGCCGCGGCGTCCGCGAAAAACTGGATCCGTACTGCGCACGGCCGAGTCTCCCGTACGATTTTTACATCGTTAATAACAACAAACGGCCGGCCGTAGCGGCGGTTCGTGCCGGTCGACGATGACGTTATCGAAGACCGAGGATAAACAATTGGCCACCGTGCGCCATAAACAGTGATTTACGAGCAGCACGAGTGTGCGCGCGCGCACGCTTTCGACCTTCTATCGGCGATCATCTCGATGATGACGCGCGAGCGCGGTGTATAAACCGTCATACATGCCAACGTGCCTATCGAGGCACGTTTATCGAGGGCGACGTCGATAATGGCCGGCGTAATTGTCCATCGTTACGATCATCCTAACGACCGGCAATTTTTTATCACCGTCGCCGCGTTTTCCACGCTCCAACGCTCGCACTTGGCGCGCGTGAACGCGTGCAAGAGTAACGACGAGTTTCATACGAAGGAAAAAAGATCAGCGTAATTATCAAGAGCAGTCACTGAATCGGCTTGTGTGTAACAGATAGCAACGACTGCTCGGCGTAAGCGTGACTAGGCAAGGCCGTCGGCGCTATTTAATCCTTCGCAGGTAGAAACGGACGGACGGCGCGCGGAAAAGGAGACACGGAGGTATCCCGAGAGAAGACGCGATCGTTAATACGCATTTTCACGTTAGCTCAAACCCCTGAAAGAACCACCACGACGCGCGGTGGTAACGCGTGTCAGAAGCGTCACGCGTGACCGACCGCGTTCTATGGAAATTTCCATACTGTGAGGTCCGTCGGCGCAAAGAAAAGCGGCAAATGCGTATGAAACCGCGGTCTTAAGTTGACACGCCGAAACCGGCGGTATTGACTTCAGTGAATAATTAATGTTACATTCAAAGAAAGTCACAATCCATGTACATATTAAAATGAATCAACAATTGTGCGTGTAATTATCATAATGTTGAATAATTATGATTATACGTAGCAATTATTATAAATATTCTCGATATTAATATATAATATGATTTTACCCGATATCAATGTATAATATAATGATTGTCAAAATTATGCTGTTCAAATAGTAAAACTTTCACACCCCGAACTTCTCTGCGGCCAGCGTCATCACTAAAAGGGATTATCCTTGTCATTTTCAAATAACGAACTGCAAGCGGATGTGTATCATCAGAGGCAGAAACTCACCCGGCAACCGGAGTCATTTTCAATGCCAACGCCCGGCTGATGCAGAATCCGGCGCCGCCCGTGGCGAACCAGAACTTCACCTTTTGCTGAAACACACACGGAGAAGAAAAACGACTTTAGCGTGGGGTTTTCGACAGAGGGGTCGACTAGAAATCGCGGGAGTCGCCGATATAATTATACGATACATCGATCCGAGATCGGACCGAGTGATCGATCGTCGTCGGAACAAGCCGGCGATCGTCGTTAACCGATTAAGGATGAATGACTCGCTCGACGGGAATTAGGGATCAGGATAGATTACATTTTGGCGTATCGCCGGGTGTCACGCCACTTCGGTGGAACAAATTACGACGAGGTCGTTAATGATTTCGGCGAGGCCGCTTCGTGTCGTGTCACACGATCCTGGACTTTCTCCTCGAAACATTCGCGAAGTTAACTGTAACTGCAAGCAACCGAGTTACGAAACGATCGCGGACCGTACATTAGGCTTCAATGAGGCCTTAGCAATCAACAGATCAAAACTCATTAAGCTTTCTAATCGTTAGCATCGTGTATGCATTGGGAAAAGGTTTTGGTAATAATTACTAAAATTTTATGAACATTTGCCGACCAAATATTTGATCGCTTCAATCAAATAATTTCGTTCCGTACACTAAATATACAATATACAGAATTACAGTACGTTGGGAATCGGCAAATATTCATTAAATTTTACTATTTACTATGAAATCCTTCGGTCAGTGTGCATTATGATTGTTGATTATGCGATTAATCCGTCATTTTTACACAGCTTGACGCAACACATCCTATTTTATCCAGACAAAATGAGGAAAAGCGATCAAGACTAGCAAGTTTTTATCTGGTGAATAATACGATCATATCGAAGCATGATGCATATAAAAATATATTACAATCAAAATAATAAACAGTGCAACAGAAGCGGACCGCTGAAGACCAGAAACGGACCTAAATCTAAAACGACTGTAAATTCTTTAAATGAAGACTCACGAAGCGCGCGGCAGGCTTAAGTGGCTCGATACTTTACAATTAACCGCATCTGATCCGCGATTCAACGGGGAATTAGAAATAACGACTATACGCGAACTATAAAAATACGACTGTGAAGCAGAAAGTAACGAACGTACGTTCACATTCGTGCGATTTCGCTCCCTTATACCGATCAAGCCGTCACATCGTCGGCGTCGTTTAACGGTACACGAACTATCGGTATCGTTCGGCACGATGGCGCAAAACGACGATAAAAAGGACGCGGGAACGGGCGCCGAGAAAGGTGTCCGCTTCCGATTGGTCTTTTCCCGGTGACCTGGAAACTTCGCTCTAGGAAACGTTCTCGCACACGCCGCGAGTACCGAGAGTGTCGGGTGTGTGTATGCATGCGCCTATGTGTGTGTGGCCGGAGCGAGTGCGAAAACACAACGAGCTGAGATACGAGCGATTTCTGGCCGATTGCCGTGGCTGCAGGCTATTAAAGCCGGACTCCTAGGCGGCCTGATCCACGCCGGCCGATACTATCTCGATATACCGGTATAGGGCCGTCGTAGAATCGTGCGCCGTTTCTTCGTGAAGGCGTGGTGCACACGAGTCGGGGGCAAACCACCGCCGGAGTAAGCGGAGCTCGGCCACCGAGACTGCACACGTGCGTACGGCCCATCGCGTCGATAAAACCGTCACGCGCTTTTTGCGCGGGAATCGGCGAAACGTCGTGTGCGTTAACGATTCCGGACGTTATCCGGGCGAATCTCGCGATGCGAATTAGTCGCGCGCTTAATTGACCTCATTGGACGCGCGAAAGGTGGCTCGTACCGAGAGACGCGCCCCGCTGATAACGTTCGCGCAATAAGGCCCCGCTCTATCGGATCCCGTCGCGTTTTTTTTTTTTTTCTAACGCACACCGGACAACTTTCGACGGTCACTCGTGTGACTTTGACGCGCATTATCGCTTTGTTAACGTTGCCTTTTAACCGTTGCGATTTTATCGTTACCGCGCGAAGGGAGATAATATTGGCGCAGGAAGAATTTTACGCCGCCGAAATCCACGAGTATCGATCATCACCGTCGACGAGAAAAAACGATTCGTCAACAGCACTACTCGTTCTCACAATCGCCACTCGTTGGATCACCTTGCCGAATCGACAAATCACCACGCTTCAAGAGCAAGTCGAAATAACAAGCAAAATATTTGCTCGCCAATATCGAAATCAAATTTCGCTCGGGTAAATTCAGCTTCTCGGTGTGATTTTCCTTTCCGACCGAACTTTTCCACCGACTCGGTGGATTTGTATTTGTGTTTCGCGGATCTGTCGTCGCGCGCACACAGAGCCGACCACGAGGAAGAAAGACGTTCTCGAAGAATAACTCGCGAACAGGATGGGGGGGGGGATCGCGCGATTTACCGTACCTCGCAGCTGCCTTTGACAGATCCGAGACGTGCGCTCGTGGCGTGAAAAATCCCGACGTCTCCGCAGCCGGCCGCGATGTTGACCTACGCTATCTCGGCGTTTATCTCGGCGTGACGCGCGCTATCGGACACGGGTGGTGCAGCACAGCGGTGTGCTCCTTTCTGCTCTGTCTGGGCGTGGTAGGAGATCGCGGATGGCAGCAGGGGCCACCACCAGCAGGAGTGCACGGATGTACCACTCACGTATATCCCGCGATATGTTCGTAAGGTCAGCTGACAAGGCGATCGGCGCGCGGCGTTACCGTTATGCACGTACGTGGCATACCTACGCCCAACGCGGGACGGTGTAATCGTCCGCCGCTCCGTTTGAGGATCTGTAATTTCGCACGGCTGCGAGTAATAAGATGTGCAGTGCTGCGAGAGCCTACACACCGCTGCCCAATGACGCAGAAATTGCGCTGATAATATCCGCTCACGAAGATCGAGGCGTTTCGCGAGAGCCTCTCCCATCCCGAACGGTGTTCGATCGGCGATACCATTGCCTCTTTCCGTGATTCTGCGAGAGAAAGAGAGAGAGAGGGAGAGGAAGGATCGATACTCTTTCGACACGCTCCGAGGAAGTTTGCAATTTCCAACGCAACACCGTGCGCTCTCGTCGACGAGCCTCGCGACTCGCAACAAGTGCCAATCGCACCTCCGGTAATTCGCTGTTAATCACCGTGTACGTTGTAACAATCAATTGGACGCGTTGCGTTATAATATTCACTGTAACAGGGCTATTAACCGGCCATAAATAATTGTCGAATAACAATCACCGGCAATAAAATCATAATCACCGGTAATGCGTATCGCTTCGTACTTTGTGCGAATAATTAATTTGTCGCGTCGCTGTGGTGTCTCCATTACGACGATAATTAAAATCGCCGGGGAATAATTACGGTTATTCGCCGGCGAACCTGTTCGGGAGAGACGATATCGTTCGCTCGACGAGTTATCGAGCGACAGGTATCGAGAGAGAGAGAGAAAACGAAGAATCGGGAGAGAAGAAGAGGAAACGGGAGCGCGCTCAGAGACGCATTAGATATACACGCGCGATAAAGGTAGCTCGAGATAGTATCGGGTCGCTTTTACAAGAAGGCAAGCTATTCTTTACTTCTCTCTTTCGGGTCCATTTGAATAACACAACATCGTGTTGCGAGCGTACGCGGAGAGTCACGAGAGAGGGAGAGAAGCCACCGGCGCGACCCGGGACGCGAGAATTCTGAAGTCGCCCGTGAACCCGCTCTTATTGTTACGAGGAAGCGTGCGCGCAGTACAGAAAGCGACACCGGAATCGGTATAGCCGGGCGATCCCTCGCGAACCGATGTTCAACGTAGTCCCGTGCGGCTCCCCTGCTCGTCCAGGCCAGCGTCATTCCTCGGACTTTTCTTCCCGACCGCGCCAGCTGACGATTTTTCTTCGGGTGAAATAACCGACGACTAATCGCGCTTTCCCGAGTCGAAACTTTGATACTATTCTGACGCTCTTGAGAATAAGGACAAGCTGAGGATTTATTCTGCAAATTTCAATATGAAGACCGCTGCATCCTCACGGTCTCTCGCGAGAAGAGAGTTCCAGGCTCGGAAGGTTCGGAAAGTTCGGAAGATTTTCAACAACAGGTTGAGAATTCGGAAAATTTAAGCGGTCCCAAAAGCGCCACGTCAGAGCACGTGAGGCTCTGCTCGGCACGTTTATAATACTTTCACAGTATTTCGGAGACCGCCCACGTTCTACGGTGAAGGTCGGTCGACGGGATCCTAGCGTCGCGTTCTTCCAGCGCAGCTGCCGGGTCGGCTTCGGGGTCTCGCTAAGCTAGACGCGCTCGACGAGGCAATCAGTCAGTAATTTTAATTATCGCGCGCGTATTTACGACTGGTAATCGCTCCATCTCGGACGCCAGCAATCTTGGGGGCATCGCGCCGGCATCGCACCGGTAACGAAGGGCACCTACCGATCGGCGGGCAAGATTGTGCCGGTGCTCCTCTGACTAATTACATTCCTAACCCGGGACGAGGGCACGTCGCCGGGCGGAGGGGGAGGAACACGTCGTATGCGAGCAAAGGCCGCACGATTCTATATCCAATTATGTACGGACGATTGGCAGCAAGCCCGTGGATACGTTCCGCCGTTTGATTGCCCTCCCTCGACCTGTTATCGTCGTCGTCGTCGAGAGCGGATACAAGTTATTTGAGATCATGCTTCCCGCTTAATTACTATCTCCGCTCGACTTCTCGGCCTGACTTCCCGATCCTCGGGCTTCGACGACGGGCCGTGTCCGCCCGACCGGATCTCGAGATGCGCCGACGTCGAAAACACGAATTCCACCCCGTCGTCGATACGACCGCGATCTTCCCGCCGGATGCGAACTTCCTCCCTCCCTTTTTCGTCTTGCGAAAACGCGCGAGCGAAAGTGCGTTCGCTACTTTCGATCGTGCCGCGGATATAAATAAAAGACGACAAAACCCGGTCGCAGCAAACTTCGATTAAGCTAAGCGACGATTTTGACTTACAGAGTCACCGAAATCTAGGTCATTGCATTGAGCGAAAAGTGATTGAGACTTCGCGAAGTAAATATTTCTCGTGACATGATCTTCGATATTTATTGGTTAGAAAAAAGTTTTACCCTG